CCCCAAAACCCCAAAACCCCAAAACCCCAAAACCCCTAGTAGTTGATTAGAGGTTGAATGGTTTAATTTCAACTGAATTACCATCCTTGACCTCCTCCCATGAATCCTCCACCCATATTTGGATTGCTTTGAGGGAATGCGCCTCCTCCCATGTTCATCTGGCCAGGAGCAGCCATAATAGCTTGCATGCCATTTCCGCCCACGCCAGGGAACATGAAGCCCATATCAATGTCCTGAAGTCTGCCTTCAGCCTCTTCAGCAGCCTTGGCATCCTTGTTCTTCTCAATTTCGTCAGTCTTCTTCTGTACTCCTTCAACTCTCGAACTAAGGTCTTTCATGAATTGAATGTAATATGGCATAGCGTACTCAATAAGCCCGAATCTCCAGGCTACCTCCATAGCGACATCTGGCTTGATAAGTTCATAACAAGTGTAAAGCATGGAGGCAAAGAGTTCCTTCTCTCCAGTCTCCATAAAGAATCTGAGAAGCTCTTCAGTGAGCTTCATATCTCCACTCTCAGAGACTGTCTCAATAGAATCCTTCCAGAGCTCATCCTTCTTGGAGATCTCAAGGGATCTGTCCCATTTCTCGTTCTTTCTGTAAATAATAGCAGCAATTCTTCTGAACTCAAGAAGCTCATGGTTCTCGATTTGTCCAGCAAGGTTGAGTGACTCGAAGTTGTCATACTCGGTGATTGAGGCTCTCAAGCTCTCATAGTCCTCGTTTTCAACGTAGATTTCATTCAGAGCCTCGTTTACAGCACCAACGTTTTGGTTCTGAACGCTCTTCAAGAACTGTTCAATCAGAGCAAGGTGTCCTGCCTTTCTCATTACGCTTACACATTTTAGAAGATCAATCTTCATAGCAAGTAGCTTGAGAAGGTCATTCACAAGCATTGGCTGCTCTTCAAGGTAGAAGATCATTGCTCTATAGAAGAGGTCTTGGTTGGCAACCTTCAAGATGTTCTGCACGAACAAGTCATGTCTCCAGCAAGATGGAGAGTGTTCCATCATTGTCAATACAGCATTGTCAAATTCTTCATATTGAGAATACAAGAAGACTGTCTCTTCCCACATATGCCACTTTCCACAAGCTCTAATGAGTTTTGGGATGTTGATCTTTTGAGCGTAGGTTCTGATATGATCCATTAATCTTCCTGGCTCATATTTGGCATAGAGTACACCTAGTTCAGTGTAGATTCCCATATGAGCTCTCTCAAGTCCGAGAGATGACTCAAGCAAGTTCATGCATTCCTTGAAGTATCCAAATTTTTCATAGTGTTGAATCAAATCATCCAAGTTATCTGGGTGAATAACTATATTGAGACCAGCAATAGAGGCAAGTCTGAATTCTTGAGATCTAACACAAGCAAATGCTACTTCCTTCCATACCTTTGGAATGTTGGCTTTCTTTGCAGCCTCAAGAGCAGCTTGGTATTCCTTCAAGAAGACCAAGGTAGAGGCGAGTTTCTGATTATGTCCAATGCTGATGTACAAGATCTTTGCAGCATAGAACAATCTTTCTTCGTAACATCTGTCTCCTGCTTTTTGGATATCAGCCTGGTTTGGCTCATTAATGAAATCTTCAAGTTCATCTAGTCTGTCAGTCTGAGCGTAAGCATAGACCAATTCTCCATCAATATCAGTGTCTCTATGGTTCACTTGTCTTGCCATCGACAAGTACTTGATTAATGGGGCAAAGAGATTCTGAGATTCAGCAAGATCAATAACTCTAGCAGAATGACTAGCATCTTTAGCTTTGCAGAAGCAATCAATACAGTCTTCAGTCTGAGCATTGTTCAAGTATGCTGCACCAAGAGCACTCCATACTTCTGGTTTGTTAGCTTTCTCAGCAAATTCTTGTGCTCCAGTGAGATCTTGCATATAAGTGATCAAAACATCAACAGCTTTGTCTGGTCTATTGCATTTCCTGTAGATAGCTAAGGCTTCTTCATAGAGTTGGTATTTGTCATTCAAAGCAATCTCAGCAAGATGTTCTCCATCAAAGTTATCTAGTCTGTTAACGTAATCCATAACCTTTGTTCTGTCAGCTTTGATAGCAGTCAAAACCAACAAGTTCTGTAGATCTTGATTAGATGAGAAGTCACTGTTGTGAAGAACAATCTTCTCTAGTAATTCTATCAGTTCACTTGGCATATCAGCATCCATGAAAGCCTTGACTGTTGTTGCGACTTCCTCAGTATTATCACTTTCTGGGAGAGCGACTTGGACTACCTTATCAATGACAGCTTGCTTGTGCTCATTATCCTGGTTCAAAACCTTAGACCAGAGTTCTTCGTCTTTTCTCTCAACTAAGTATTTTGCTTGAAGTCTGTACAGGTAATTTCTGTTTGAAATTTCAATCAATTCTTCATCACATGATCCCCAAGCTCTTCTGTAAGCAATAAATGCGAGATCAGCATTTCTATCTTCAGCATATTTACCAACAACTTTAGAGTCATAGTGTGGGTTGTTGATAAGATGATTCTCAGCTTCTTGAGTATCGTTATCGATCAAGTTCATGGCAATCGCATTATGAAGGGCTGGCTCATTAACACCTTCATTTGCTCTAGCTTGAAGCCAGCTCTGGAGATCTCTTCTCTTATTTCTCTGGTCAAATTCTTCGACTAATTCTCCAATTGGGCACATTCTAATAGAGTTGAGCAATTGTTTAATATAAATCTCGTCGCAGTCAAGGTCAATCAAGGTTCCCAATACTTTTGGAGCAGCAGCGTTATTAACCTTTAGCACGTAAATTTCAATGAATCTGTTCTTCTTGTTCTTGTACAAGTATCTAGTCAATTCAGGAACAAAGCCATGGAGATCACAGAGATAGATCAAAGGTCTTGGATCCTGCAGAGGAGTATCCATCAAGAAGTCTTTAACCTTTACTGGATCGTAGTGAGAAGTACTCTTAATTACCTTCTCTAATTCCTGAATCTTATTCAATCTAGCTGCAGCTTGGATATACTTGAAATAGCATTCCTCATCTTCGGTCTGTGGGAGGATATGTCCGAGATAGTAGAAGAGACCGTCATAAGCTTGGTAGTGCTCAAACAATTGAATGATCTTTGAGCTGTCAAGCCTTTCGAAATCTCCAATAGCAACTTCAGCTACTCTCTGAACATTCTGTCTGTTGCTTCTCATGAGCTCATCGAGAGATTGAAGGGCATCTTCTGGCTCTAATCTTTTGAAGACTGCAATCATCTGTGGTGCTGGAATAGCGTGGACATTCAAAAGGGCTCTCTTAATGTCATCAACATTATTTAAATGCTCAAGAGCTCTTCCGTAGAGACCAGCTGCTTCACACATTTTTCCGATTTTCTCACGGTCGTAGTGAGTAAAGGTCTGCATCTGGAAGATGGCTTCAGCAACATTTGGAGCAGCTCTAAGATTGATCTCAAAGAGCTTAGTCTGGAGATGTCCTTCTTCTGGTCTGTTGTTCTTCAAAGCTTCAAGCATGAAAGCAGTAGCCTCCTGGATAGCATTGTTATCAAGGAAGATAGTGACAACAGTCTCAGTCGGAACCATGTTTGGTCCTTGAGCAAAGAGCCACTTAGAAAGTCCCAGAGCAGCTTCAGAGTTCCTTGGAGTAACGTTTCTCAAGATGTTGAGATAATCTACTTGTTTGCCTGTCTTTTTCAAGTATGGTTGGATCTTATCAAATTGCTGACCCTCTACAAGTCCTTGAACGACCATATCTGGGTTGTCTGACATAAGTGTAAGATTAAATCCTAGCTTTGGATCGTATTGTTTAACAATTTCTACCAATTCGTCAGTAACAGTCAGCTTCTTCTTTTTAATCCAGTCTTCAACAGCAGCTTTCTTTCCTTGGGCAAGAACTGGTTTTACAAGTTCTACTGATTCTAGGGCATTGAGCTTGGTTGTTTCAAGGAGTGTAGAGAAGTAAATTAGCACTGGTGGAGGTCCACTAGCAGCAGTGGCACTCTTGAATTTCTGGATGGTATCAGCATTCCTCAAAGTGTCTCCTGGAGCTTCTCTAGCAACCTTGGCAGCTCCCTTATAATCTCCTGAGCCAAAGAGCTTGTTGAACTGGGCTAAGAAAAGATTCTCAGCTCCTGGAAGAGAATATCTATGAGCCATCTTGAAAGCAATTCCTACATTATCAGTCAGATGAGTGCACTTGTTCATAATGTATGAGATCAAGTTTGGTTGATCAGCATTGATTGCCAAGAGCTGTCCGTCTCTATTACAGCAAATAGCTCCATCAGTCTTAGAGTTCTTCACAGATCTGAAGATAAGTGAAGCAGTAATTTTCTGGCGGTAAATCAAAGCTGCGCTTCCAATCACATAAACAAATAAGTATCCTAGCTTTGTGATAACAAAAAGGATTCCAGACTTCTCAACAGCATGCACAACAACTGGGAAATCTCCTTGGGCTTCTGGTGCATAAGTAAACTGAGCGCTTTGCTTGAATTTTCCATCAGATCCATTAGGGTTTCCGATTTCCATAACTCTCAAGGTAGAGTTTGGCTGTCCTGCCTTCTTCTCAACGAAGCAGAACAATGAGTTCTTGTATTCAGGGTCATCGTTCACACAGACCTCAGCGAATGATCCACAGAATCCTTCCAATGGCTGTTGCTGGGACTTCTCAATAGAGTACAACTGCATATTTCCTTGGATTGACTTATCCTCAGCTGCCTTGATGCCATGAAGGATGGCCCAAGTACCGTTATGAGACATAGAGTAGCCCATGATATGGCTTCCAGAGAGCTTATCAGACCTAGCAAAGATCTTAGTGGCAGTTCCAGATTTAGGGTCAACATGGTATACTGAAGAAGAGCCTACAACTCCCAAAGTAGTGTTATTGAGCCAAGTCCAATAGTCAATATCTTCTTTAATCTCTCATTGGGAGATTCTCTTTTCGTTCTTCATATCAAAGATTTGGATGAAGTTGCTCGCTCCAGTTCCTTTAGCTCTGGCGGCAATGATAAGATTAGATGGGTGAACAAGGATATGTTCAGCTTTCATTGTCTTCCTCGTTACAGCAAATCCAGCACCAATATCTACAATGACTAGCTCCTAGAACAAATGGTTAGCTTTATCAACACTAAGAACTACAAGGGGCAAAGACACAAGACACCACTACTTGAATGAGTAGGATTCAGACGATCCAAATCTTTTAATTCAAATTTTAAAATAAAAGCAGGAACTTACTCCTCCTTCCTTCAAGGATAGGTATTTCTCTGACTCAAAGCCAAGGTTTCCTGGTTTGAACAGATCCTTTGACAAACCTAGACTCTGAAGATCAAATGCCTGAGTGTATCTAATCGGCAAGGCGTCTTCCATTTCCTTTTAAAAATTAATATGAATATTTTTAAATCGGCCCAATAAGTAATCCTACCTATGGGGTTTTGGGGTTTTGGGGTTTTGGGGTTTTGGGGTTTTGGGGTTTTGGGG